ACAAAAAATAAATTGACAAAAAATTAGTATGCTAGTTTGCTGAAAATACAGCTTGAATTATTTCATAATAGATATCGGCAGCTTAGAAAAGCTATAATATGATGTATTTACATTTAAGAAAACTGTAAAATTACCGTAAAATTATTTATATCGCTTAGTTGAGATCATATTCAATACTATATAGACTCCACAGTTGGACTTTTCTAATGCTGTTACATACAACATTTCTTTTAATTTTCGTATTTTTCACACTTTCCTAAAATAACAAAAAATAAAACTCTATTGCACATCTGTTTTCTTTATAAATTGTATTAACACTTTACTCGCGAATTTCGATACTGGTTTTTTATTTTTCAACTATTTATCTGCATAATTTTGGGCAATAAAAAAAATATCAATCACTCAATTCTAAAAGGAATTTTAAGCGGACTTTTTCAAAACTATTTGAAACAAAATATAACTTTTGCTTCTGAGCTGATATTTATCTACGAGAACATTTGTAATTAAATTATATTTGCTTGTGGTAATTAAAAAAAAAAAGAAGCTATAACTAGCAGTTTTTGTCAGTGTTTCTCATACAAATATTTTAAACTTTGAATTTGGTATTATATTTTATTTTATTAATTACACGAACAAAATGTGAAACTACAAAAGCTATGCAAGTGACAACGAAAATTCGTTTTATATTTTTTGTTTGTGGTATCAGTCATTAGTTGCAAGTAATAATAATTAAAAAAAAAGTGAGTACCAAAGCTTTTGATAATGAACAACATTATGAAATGAATGAATAAATTATAAATGCGTATAAGAATAACCTAATTTTTTCCCAGACGAATTCAATTCATTTTTTATAATCACACCGTATTCACGTGTAAATGTATAAGTTTTACTCAGATTGAAAATTCAGTTTTATCACAATTCATGAGGAAACGAAGCAAAATGGAACTTTAAACGTCCAGAGCGAAAAAGTTTTGACTGAAATTTTACATCTTCTGCAAAGAACAGAATTTGAACTGATTCCGGCATTGCTTAGGAAATCGCAAGATACTCTTACTAATAGCACAGAATCAAGTTAATCAGCAAGAAATACTGTGATACAATTTGGTAAATTAAAATTAAGAATACAACACTTTGTCACTAATTATGATTAAAATATCTGTAACACAATCGTAAGGTTATTTACAAATAAACTGAAATATAAACTAGTGTATCGGGTAGAAACCCAATGCGGATTATATTCGCACTGTACCATCAAAAGTCTTATGGATAGAACAAGATTTTCCCACCATAAGTTTGAAGCTATGAAGCTAGGGTCGTCAGCTGAGCTTCGCTTAGCATAAGTTTAAAGGCATAAAGCAAGCGAGTCAACTGAGATTCGCTCAGCATAAGTTTGAAGGTTTAAAGCTTAACGAACATTCTTTAAAAGTTTTTTTAAAAAAATTTTCATCCAAAGTTGAATTTTATAAAAATCACAGTCAACTTTTGTTTTAAAAAATTCGTAAGAAAGGAAAGATTTTTGCTTTTTCTGAAGCAACGGATGTTCCTACCTTGCCCAAAAACAATATAGCTCTTCTATAGAGCAGCACGGATCAAATGTAAAAAACTAGAATTCTCTACGATGTCTTGTTATTGAGATTTCTTGCTGATTAACTTGCATGCTTGTTTGCTTGCTTACAGAAAGCGTATTTTGCGATTTTCTCAGCAATGCCACAACCAATTTGAAATCCATTTTTTGAAAATGATGTAAAATTTTAGGCACATACTTTTCTCCTAGGACCTTTTACAACCAATTTTGCTTCGTTTCCTCACAAAATGCGAAAAACTGAATTTTCAATCTGAAAAAAACCAATAGATTCACACATGAAAACGGTGTGAATATAATAAAAAAAAATCTTAATAACGATGAATCGTTAAGACTTCTAGTGTTAACATTTGATTCGTGTTTTAAGCCTTTAGTCATATGCTGAGCGAAGCTTTGCCTAATAACAATACTTTCGATGGTACGGTGTGAATATATCCGTATTGGGTTTCTATCCTAAATACTACTTTTACTATAGAATGGAAAATGAATGCAACAAAAGAAGAAAAAAAGTTATTCACTAAATGTATAAAAAGTCTGAATCATTAGATTTAAAAGAAGAATTTAGCTGAAAAGTAAGTAGTAAAAATGAAAATAAGAGCAACATAGACAAATATTGTACGGTAATTAGGTCAGTTGGCACGCTCTAATTATTGCAGTAAAATTATGAATAATAATTTTAAATAAGCTAATTTAATTATGAAAACCAGTTTTCAAAAGATTATCCGCTACGCATAAATGACAATTCAATTGAAAATCCCAATTAATTTCTATTAATCATGAAAATTGTATTTGAAATTTAATAGCAATTTTTTAATAACAACTGGCTAAAATAATAAATATTATAGTTAAACCGCAATAGATAATTTAAAAAACTTGAATTTATTTTCAAAAACTTTCTAAGCAGATTAAAATTTTCTAATAAAAGATCTCTGCAATTTTGCAGAAAACTGTCAGCACAATAATTAATGAATATGTATATACGCCGATATAGACAAAAATAAATAAGTATAATATTTTTAAAACAAAAACATGGGATGGAAAAAGATTAAGATTGAAATAGAAATCTTTTTGCCTTATAGATGCATAATTTGAATTGAATGCAAGTCTGGAATGGTGAAATTTACAGAAAAGCAATTTAATTATAATTTCAATCTTAACAACTAACCTTGAACGTAAATAAAAAATATGAGATGAAATCAAGTTTTTGTACAGCACTAGAATTTCATTTAACATTTTTTCCATCTCTTTAAAATAGAAGGATTAATGATTAATATGTATCGATGCACGCTAGCTTACTGCAGATCAATCTAGTTGATTTTTAAAAATTTATAATATTAGAAAAAACTATAATTTTATTTAAACACTTTTATTTACTTTTTCGGTTATGGTCGTATAAACATACTAATAGGATATCATAGCAAAATAATTATTTAAATTAAATTTAATCATTAACAAGCTATGAGCATATAAGATTAGTTACTCTTTGATCTCTCAACGGAAAAAAACATTTATTTTGGGTATTTATATTTTCACAATAAACTGATTGCAGATTAGAACGAAGCTAAGCCAAATGTATCAAATGACGATAGTAAGTATTGGACGTAAAATTTATATTTGTATGTATGGTAGCTCATTTAAAAATTAGAAAACCACTTATTGCTCAGTAATTTCCAATATTCTGTTGTTAAATCAATAAACTAAATTCACAACAAAAATCAAGCACATTCTTAATTGTGAGAATTGAACAAAGCTTAACAACTTTGCCCTTGATTTTCTTATTTTCTTCATTAGATAATCGATGCTAAGTAGTTAACTGTTTTCTTTATTTTTACTAAATACTCTTGTGGTGATTTTTCCATCAAATGGCATACACTTCCCACATTCATTATTGTTTTTGATCTATTTAGTTTCTATGAAAAAAATTCCAATTTAGAATATTTTTTTGATATTTTTTGATAATGAATAAATAAACTGAGGAGTTAATTTATGGCTACAGCATAAATTTAAATCAGTACTAATGAATGAAGTTTTCACACATCATAGTTGAATGCTTCTTGCGAATATAAAATAAAATAAAGTGAGAAATCGTTAACTGCCAATAATATAGAGTAAGGATAAAAAAAGAGAAATTAATGGATTACAGTTTAATTTTATATTTTGCGATATCATGTAAAATAATATAAACAAATGTGTGAGATTTTCCTATACTAAGTAAATGAGAAATGAACCAGATACAATTCTAATGTATGGTAATCAGAAACTAATTTTATGTTTTCCAATATATTTTCTGAAAGAAACAAAAGAAAGCTTAGAATGATTTAGAACAATTCACAGATCATTAACAAAGTGCATTTTGACTTTTCTTAAATTTTTCAATATATTTTCGAATATTATGTTTTGAAAACTCTATTTTTTTAATGCACTGTCAAGCTCAAACTATATTCTGCACAATACATGTGCAGCAACATCATTACGAGTTAAATTCAAATTAAAACATCGTACAGACTTCTAGTTCTTTACATTTGATCAGTGCTGTCCTATAGAAGAGCTGTGTTGTTTTTGGACAAAGTAGAAGCAGTCGTTGCTTGAAAAAAAGCAAAATCCTTCCTTTCTTACGAATTTGGATGCAAAAAAATTTGAGAATGTCTGTCCTTTAAGTTTAAAACCTTCCAATCCGTCATTCTTTAAACTTTCAAAGATATGCTGAACGAAGCTTTGCCTAATAAAAAGACATTCGATGGTACGGTGTAAATATATCCGCATTTTGTTTCTCGCGATACACTAGTTAATGCAACTAATTGAACAAGTTAAAAAAAATGAACATTCAATGACGAAATAAATTATGAGGTTAATATTTCTAAAGAGAGAAATTTCTCTCAACATGGTTTATGCTGTACATGTTCCAAAATAATAATAATAAGGCTCTCGCTCAGTTTTTTTACTTTTCTTTCATGAAACATTGTGAGCATTTCTTTCGATATATTTCATATTCATTTATTTATGCTTTCTCTCTGAATCTTTAATAGTTACAGCAAAGTGTTAACATTTTTCCTGATTTAATTTCATTTTTCATTATTCCGCGGGCAATAGAGGTATAAAGTTGTTGTATTCAAAACATATGCGTGCAGTTTTTTTGCAAAATCAAAAATTCATTGTTGCATTTTTTTTTTATTTCGAGGATCAAGTAAAGCGATAAAAATGATCTAGATTTCTTTATATTGAATTTATATTTAAAAAAACTATAAATTTATTCAACCATTTGCAACAAAAAATTAAGAACTTTCAATAAGTGTGACTATAAGCTATTAGAAAATATCATATGAAAAATAACGAAAGTGGTTTAAAAAAGTAAAGGTTTTTTAAATTTAAAATTAAAGTTGAAAAAGATTTGTGAATTAAGTAATAAATAGTTGAGAAAATGTGGGTAAAAGATTCAGTGAAAATTATATTTCTGTTCTCATTTTTCAACATTTTGTCAACATCATCGTTAAAACTGCATTTGAATGAAAATGAAACCGAATCTGATGTTGATAATGAATCGCTACCGAGTATTTGGGATGACGAAGTTGTCACACGAATGGTACGCGAAGTGTTGGCAAGAGATTTGTATCAAGAAAACGAAATAAAGAAAACAAGAAGGCAGTATAAACGCGAAGTGCATTCATCTGCAACTGTAGCGCCAAAATCCAGCAGTGAATTACAAACAACCAGAAAAATGGCATCAGTAACGACACAGAAAGTAAAGAAACCATCAAAAATGACTCAGACAGGAAATAAAAACAAAAATCGTGTCACTTTACCAGCATCAATTACTTCATCGAATACGACAAAGGCTACCGTTAAACCCAACGTGCAGTCAACTGTTAGTAATATTAATTTGGGAAGTGTTAACTCTTCATTGAAGATTAAGGTAAGGAGGGATAAAAAATCAGATAGAATTGTACTCAAAAGAAAGAAAAGCCTCTTCATGAAGCATACTAAACAAATAAACAAATGAAAGACAAGGAAATTTTATTTTCTTTACTCGTCTCTTTTACGTTCATTTTACAATCAGCACACGTGTGATTTTAAATTAAAATTGTATAAAAGTTTCATGCGTTCATTTTATTTATTTATTCACGATTATGATGTTCATTCTTTATTGTAAGCATAAAACTACTGTCATATAATTGTTACAACTCGATAATACAAAAGATTATGATGGTAGCATTTTACTTTGGATATCAAACATTTTTATGATTTTACTTAAATATAAAATATGAAGGAAGCGGAAAAAGCAGAAGAATTTTAAACTTTAAATACTTTTCCAAATTTTTTAACTGCTGTAATGTTGATGTGCGTTGATGTTTTAAACCCGAATATTAATTAATAAAAACAAATTTGTAGCCAATTACGCCTCCAACAAAATACCACTACTATCCACACAATCAACACCCTTACATCTTACCAGAATGTGCAGTACAGCAGGTAAGATGTTTTGTAATTTCACATATTAACCCCCAGGAAATAATACTAATTTTTATAATTATTTAAATTAGGTTTGCAATGCAGTTTATGCTCGACTGAATTATACACAGCCATTGTGTGTATGTCCACCAAGGTAGGTTGAGAAATTATTATTTTATAAAAACAATTATTATTATTCAAAAAAGGCAAATTCATGAACTTTCATGTGCTCAAGAATGCTTTAACAGCCAATATAATTTTCCATGCTTTATCTAGGCTAATCTGATCAAAATTTGCTACCGATTTGTTGATTGAGTTGCGGTAAATTCAATTTATTATAATCATCTTTAACTGCTGTAGATAGAATTGAGTATTTTTTTCTTAAATTTTATATACAAAAGCAAAAAAATCGAAGACTGTCAAAAATCGTATGATTATGATCGTGCTGTTTTAAGAAACGAAAACTGTAAATTGATAGGTTTGTTGTGGGAAATTAAAGAAGAATGGAAATGCAAGAGCATAAAAATATTTCAAATAAATTTTTCATCGAAGAAAAATTTATGAACCAAAGTAACACAACGAAGCCAGTAAACTTTTTCGTTTTTCATTCTTTTCATTTTTTCCATGTACTTTATATGCTACTAGGTATCGTGATCCATGCTCAGCGAGTCTTAATGAAGATGATAATCATACCATAACATTAGTTGGAAATGCAAATAGAAGAGCAGTGACATTAGCAAAAACCTGCGAACAAGGAAATGAGTTGCGTGATTGTCGAGCTCCACGTGATTGGTCGATTTTAGCACTACAAAATACAAGAACCGGGAAGTCACATTATTTAGTTATTTGCAAATGTCCCGGTAACTTTAGATTAGGTTTGTATAAATTTTATACTTGATAAAAAAAAATAAAGTTTGTGTTTAAAATAGACGGACCATTACCTCACGATCAACCGACTTATGCGGGATTGCCTGGCATCAATGTTTTCGGGATGCTTTGTGTTCCTTTCAACACGCCAGCACAAGCAAGTAAATGGCACCCAGTCATTCATACATCATATAGGTCAAAGAATACAACTATTGAAGCCATTAATGATAATGGTGCTGGAGTATGACAGATAAATTATGGAGAATTTATTTAATTTTTATTTTTTCAAAAATAGTTTTTAAGTTAAAGCAAAAATTGATTTGTTCCATTTGTACAGGACATGCTTTTATTAAAAGTTCAAAAAGAAAGATGCCAAATATGATGGAATAAGTATAAAAAGTGATAAAAAATAGAGTAAAAATTATGCAAATAATCGCCAGTTAAATTGTTATGGATTAGTAAAATTAGGGATAGTTATTTACTAAAGTACGTTTGGCACACAAAAGAATCCTTTGAAAAAAAATTGTAAATTTAATTTTACTTCATTGAAATTGACAAGTAAAATAAGAAAAAAAGCACATTACGTTAGAAATGGCAGAAACTTTCTCTAATCGTCTCTTTAATTCTTCATACTTCATAATTTTTTGTGAGAAAACATGAAATACGAATTATTAGGAAAGCACAAGTTTCAATAGAACTTTACACTTTACTTTTGAAAAATATTAATTACATTTTTTAACACAGAAAAAATTGAACGCAAAAAGTAATTTTGTTGTAGTCAGTTGGTTTTGATAACGCTTTATTAACTTCATCATTTTTCAAGAAGAAGCCATAACCGTCTTCCTCAATTTTCAATTATTACCATCACAGTCACGTAAATTGAACAATAAAAGCAATTCAGAGCAGCCTCATTCGAGAAAACCGAAGCTAAAATAACTAGAACTCTAAGATACCTACTATAAATTTGCCTCTATATAAAAAAAAGTTATAACATTTATTTTAAGCATCTGTTTATGAAAATAAAATATTTAAAATTTTTATAAAAGACCCATATTTCATGTGTGAGAGAAGTACAAATGGATAATGTCGAATGGACATCTGAAACTTTACCAGTTTTCCGAGAGAAACCGAGATGAATATAGAATTTTTTCATTTTGTCTTCTGATATTTGAGTTATCAGCATTTAAAGCCAGGAATATATAGAAAAAATGCAGGTTAGGAAAAATCGTGAAAATTTAATAAAAAATTCTTAAAACAATGAAACTTTACAAATATGAAATGCGATCATCAATACTTCAAAATTAAAATGCTTCTTAAAAGGAAATATAAGCAAAATATAAAACTTTTAATCGGTTATCTACCTACTATAAATCTAGTTCAAGAATCATGCTTATGATTAGTATTTTCTTAGATCGTAGTTTGCTTAATAAGACTCACAAAAGCAAATCGTATTTTCTAGATCTAAATTTAAGCAAGATCTTGATCAAGAATCGTGCTCATAAGGGCTTGAAGCCTTTATGTTACATAATATATCAGGTATTTAAGATTTAGATTTTTATCATGCTCAGTCAAAATTAAAAACGAATTTCAGGTAAGTCAAAATCTCAATCTTCAAGATTATTTTGAGATTGGGATTGTTTTAAAGTTGAATAAAGCAAATATTTATTTTTAAATTTAAACTTTTACTTATTACTTGTCTAAAAACAATAAACTGATATTACAATACTCGGATCGGATTATCCAATTTTTCAATCCGAGGATAATTAATGAAATTTTTTATTGCGTAAAACTGCACGGTGAGTAAGAAAAAATGGATTTAAAGAAGAACAATTTTTGACGTTGGATTTCACAAAAAATGATTATTATAGTAGGGGGCCGTTCACTTATTACGTTCGCATTTTAGGGGGGAGGGGGGGGGGTCTGAAATTGTGTCTAAAATTTTACATCATTTTCAAAAAATGGATTTCAAATTGGTTGTGGCATTGCTGAGAAAATCGCAAAATACCCTTTCTGTAAGCAAGCAAACAAGTATGCAAGTTAATCAGCAAGAAATCTCTATAACAAGACATCGTAGAGAATTCTAGTTTTTTACATTTGATCCGTGCTGCTCTATAGAAGAGCTGTATTGTTTTTGGGCAAGGTAGGAACATCAGTTGCTTCAGAATAAGCAAAAAACTTTCCTTTCTTACGAATTTTTTAAAACAAAAGTTGACTGTGATTTTTATAAAATTCAATTTTGGATGAAAATTTTTTTTAAAAAACTTTTAAAGAATGTTCTTTAAGCTTTAAACCTTCAAACTTATGCTAAGCGAAGCTCAGCTGACTCGCTAGTTTTATAACTTCAAACTTATGTTGAGTGAAGCTCAGCTGACTCGATAGTTTTATATCTTCAAACTTATGCCTTCAAACTTATGGTGGGCAAATCTTGGTCTATCCATAAGACTTTTGATGGTACAGTGTGAATATAATCCGCATTGGGTTTCTACCCGATACACTAGTTCTTAAATTCGTTTGATCATTACTAAATAAGTAATTCTACACCAGAAAAAATTATTTGGATTTTTCTCATTTCAAAAAAATAGACAGAGTTCGAAGAAGACTCGAGTAGACTCGTTTTTTTTCGGGTCGACTCAAGTCAACTCGACCGAATTCATTATTTCTGAGTCGATTCGAGTGTGTGAGAGAAGTACAAATGGAAAACTTAATTATGTTCGTGACTGGAACAAGACTGGAACTGTTGTAATTTATGTTTTTCCTTTTTTTAAATGTTTATTTGCCCATAATAAAATTCAATTTAGGTACAGAGAAAAAAAAAAGTTATAGTTTTAAAATAATCACATTCCAAAATATATCTTTAAAGTTAACAATACAGTTTACAATTTAGCTCGAATATTTTCTGGATACTTGACCAAACTAACAGATGCAAGATGATTAAACCAAACGTTCATATACTCTTCTCTATGTTTCATAAAGTGCATTACATGTGGTGAGTGATCGAAGCATTTCCAAGTAACTTTAATTCCATTTGATACCCATGAATCAGCTACTCTGCGATTAGAGCTTTCAGCACCAACTGGATCAGTTTTTGAAACAATCATCAAAGCTGGAGCATGTACAAAGTTTGTGTGAAACATTTGACTTGATCGAATATAATGCTGAGTTGCTGGTTCATGGAATGTTCGTAAGTGATACTTCATGTAGTTTTTAAGGGGCACTTGAAGCTTGGGATTCTTGGGAAACAAAGCTTTTGGAACGCCTTTAGGTATTTCTGTAATATCTGCAGCACTATCCCAGATCTGACCCACAAATCGATCAACTACTTTTTGGTATGTCTTAATGTCTTTATTCATTTGCACTAGACATTCACCAAACAAATATCCACCAACGCTAAAACCATGAATAACCATTTTCTGATAGTACTCGTTATTTAAGAGAAATTTGACAATATCGCCTGCTACTTCTTGAGCACCATTTACTGGCCACAATAACTGCCAAGGTGTAATTTGAGCTACAGCAACATCAAAACCTTGATCCAAATAAAGATGTGCATATTTCATCAAATGCTTAGGTTTAGATTTCAACCATGAAAATATGATAGCCAAAGGTCTATCTCCGCAATCTTGATTTAAGCTGTAATTATTTTGATAACAATAAAATACAATAAATGCTTATCGAAATTATTATCATACCGCAAAGTCTTCGGATCTGTCTCAATCTTTCTCTTGTCCTCGGTAACAAGATATATATTTTTTGTTACCTCTTGAGTACTAATAGAGCGTCTCATAATGACAGAGTAAGGAGGAATCAAAGTTTCAAATTTGTGACGAAGCAAAATCACTGGTCCATTCTAAAATTGCAATTCATTTTAAAAAAATATCGATTAATATTTACAAAGTCTTTCTCTATAAAAAAAAAGCTTAACATTTAAGTTTCTTATCGGTTAGATGGATTATGATATGCGATAAATGATAACTCCTTTTTCAAAAGGCCACCTGTTTCATATAAATTTGAATTTTGAGCTTAAAATTTCATCTTTTTGCCTCAATATAATTGTTCTTTATTAAAAAGACGTACAGATATGTAGGTATACAGTCTTAATTTTCGAAACTGAACACATACAGAGGAAGAAATTTTCGTAAATAAACTTTGACTTGCTGTTATAAGACATGGGGATTTAAATCTGTTCTTTGAAAACTAAGAGAATATTGTAAGAAGTCAATCAATGTCAAATCAAATCAGTGGTAATAATTAATTTAGAAAACTCCCTCTAAACAATTGTAATTCAATCAAAAGTACTTACTATATTCTAATTGTTTATCATATATAGGCATACAAAGTACAAAAATAATTTGTTTTAATTTATAAGACTTCTTTTACTAAAAGTAGTTTTTTTTATAAAAAACTGGTTTCGATTTAAGAACTAAATTTTATTTATTAATTATACTTACTTTTCGGAGCACTTGCGAGAAATTTCTAGCGTTATTTATATTACTAGTTGCCTTAAGTACTCGAAATTTATCAGAAATTCTGATGTTTCGAATTCCATATCGTATTGATGCAAAGTTCATTGTTTTATATATCTCGATGATTTTGCTTTCACAAAAAGAAACTGTTTTCAACTATTATTGATTATAATAAAATTCCATCTGATTTTAAATCGGGCAAGAAAAGAAGATGTTATCCGTTCCAAGTTCAATTTTTTTTGATAAGACAAGTAGTTTAAAAAAAATGATAGTTGAAATTTCCTCCTATACTGAGTTGTATAAAGAAAAATTCAACAAAAAATAATGGGTACAGTCAACTCTCAAACTTTCGAATTTTCGAAATGACTACTCCCTTGTAAACATTTTTCAAAAACAGCGCCGGCTAAAAAATTGCTTCTCAAATCCCATTCTCGGGAAATATTTCAAAAAAAGGAGAAGTTCACTTGAAAATGGGAACGTATTAAATTAATTTCAAGGAGCTTTTTTTTGTGAAGAAAAAGAAAGCAGAAGATTTTTACAACTGCATATATTTAGCAAAAAACGAAATTTTCTTATAAAAATGAGAAAAATAATTAAATATGATTTTTTTATTTTTTTGCTAATTTTAATCGTAGATTTTAAGTTTGCATATCTAGGTATTATAAATGAAAAAGAATGCTAGTATTAAAAAAATCGATATTTTTGGAAAATAACCTACTATGATCGAAACCAAAAATGCTTTAAATTGCATTTAAACATATCTAGGTATTATAAATGATAAAGTATGCTAATAAATATAAAATCGATATTTTTTGAAAATAGCCTACTATGATCGAAACCAAAAATGCTTTAAATTGCATTTTGAAACATATCTAGGTCTTATAAATGATAAAGTATGCTAATAAATATAAAATCGATATTTTTTGAAAAAAGCCTACTATAATCGAAACCAAAAATGCTTTAAATTGCATTTTAAAACATATCTTGATATTATAAATGATAAAGTATGCAAATATATATAAAATCGATATTTTTTGAAAAAAGCCTACTATAATCGAAACCAAAAATGCTTTAAATTGCATTTTAAAACATATCTTGATATTATAAATGATAAAGAATGCTAATATATATAAAATCGATATTTGTTGAAAATAGCCTACTATGATCGAAAACCAAAAATGCTTAAAATTGCGTTTTAAATCATATCTAGGTCTTATAAATGATAAAGAATGTTTATATAGATATAAAATTGATATTTTTTTGAAAATAGCCTACTTTGATCGAAAACCAAAAATGCTTAAAATTGCATTTTAAAACATATCTAGGTCTTATAAATGATAAAGAATGTTTATATAGATATAAAATTGATATTTTATGAAAATAGCTTACTATAATCAAAACCAAATATGCTTTAAATTGCATTTTAAAACATATCTAGGTCTTATAAATGATAAAGAATGTTTATATAGATATAAAATTGATATTTTATGAAAATAGCTTACTATAATCGAAACCAAATATGCTTTAAATTGCATTTTAAAACATATCTAGGTCTTATAAATGATAAAGAATGTTTATATAGATATAAAATTGATATTTTATGAAAATAGCTTACTATGATCAAAACCAAATATGTTTTAAATTGCATTTTAAAGCATATCTAGGTCTTATAAATGATAAATAATGTTTATATAGATATAAAATTGATATTTTATGAAAATAGCTTGCTATAATCAAAACCAAAATTTTAAAACATCATAAAATTGCATTTTAAAACATAACTAGGTCTTATAAATTATAAAGAATGTTTATATAAATATAAAATTGATATTTTATGAAAATAGCTTACTATAATCAAAACCAAATATGCTTTAAATTGCATTTTAAAACATATCTAGGTCTTATAAATGATAAAGAATGTTTATATAGATATAAAATTGATATTTTATGAAAATAGCTTACTATAATCAAAACCAAATATGCTTTAAATTGCATTTTAAAACATATCTAGGTCTTATAAATGATAAAGAATGTTTATATAGATATAAAATTGATATTTTATGAAAATAGCTTACTATAATCAAAACCAAATATGCTTTAAATTGCATTTTAAAACATATCTAGGTCTTATAAATGATAAAGAATGTTTATATAGATATAAAATTGATATTTTATGAAAATAGCTTGCTATAATCAAAACCAAAATTTTAAAACATCATAAAATTGCATTTTAAAACATAACTAGGTCTTATAAATGATAAAGAATGTTTATATAGATATAAAATCGATATTTTTTTGAAAATAGCCTACTATGATCGAAAACCAAAACTGCTTAAAATTGCATTTTAAAACATATCTAGGTCTTATAAATGATAAAGAATGTTTATATAGATATAAAATTGATATTTTATGAAAATAGCTTACTATAATCAAAACCAAATATGCTTTAAATTGCATTTTAAAACATATCTAGGTCTTATAAATGATAAAGAATGTTTATATAGATATAAAATTGATATTTTATGAAAATAGCTTACTATAATCAAAACCAAATATGCTTTAAATTGCATTTTAAAACATATCTAGGTCTTATAAATGATAAAGAATGTTTATATAGATATAAAATTGATATTTTATGAAAATAGCTTACTATAATCAAAACCAAATATGCTTTAAATTGCATTTTAAAACATATCTAGGTCTTATAAATGATAAAGAATGTTTATATAGATATAAAATTGATATTTTATGAAAATAGCTTACTATAATCAAAACCAAATATGCTTTAAATTGCATTTTAAAACATATCTAGGTCTTATAAATGATAAAGAATGTTTATATAGATATAAAATTGATATTTTATGAAAATAGCTTACTATAATCAAAACCAAATATGCTTTAAATTGCATTTTAAAACATATCTGGGTCTTATAAATGATAAAGAATGTTTATATAGATATAAAATTGATATTTTATGAAAATAGCTTACTTTAATCAAAACCAAATATGCTTTAAATTGCATTTTAAAACATATCTAGGTCTTATAAATGATAAAGAATGTTTAAATAGATATAAAATTGATATTTTATGAAAATAGCTTGCTATAATCAAAACCAAAATTTTAAAACATCATAAAATTGCATTTTAAAACATAACTAGGTCTTATAAATGATAAAGAATGTTTATATAGATATAAAATTGATATTTTATGAAAATAGCTTACTATAATCAAAACCAAATATGCTTTAAATTGCATTTTAAAACATATCTAGGTCTTATAAATGATAAAGAATGTTTATATAGATATAAAATTGATATTTTATGAAAATAGCTTACTATAATCAAAACCAAATATGCTTTAAATTGCATTTTAAAACATATCTAGGTCTTATAAATGATAAAGAATGTTTATATAGATATAAAATTGATATTTTATGAAAATAGCTTACTATAATCAAAACCAAATATGCTTTAAATTGCATTTTAAAACATATCTAGGTCTTATAAATGATAAAGAATGTTTATATAGATATAAAATTGATATTTTATGAAAATAGCTTACTATAATCAAAACCAAATATGCTTTAAATTGCATTTTAAAACATATCTAGGTCTTATAAATGATAAAGAATGTTTATATAGATATAAAATTGATATTTTATGAAAATAGCTTACTATAATCAAAACCAAATATGCTTTAAATTGCATTTTAAAACATATCTAGGTCTTATAAATGATAAAGAATGTTTATATAGATATAAAATTGATATTTTATGAAAATAGCTTACTATAATCAAAACCAAATATGCTTTAAATTGCATTTTAAAACATATCTAGGTCTTATAAATGATAAAGAATGTTTATATAGATATAAAATTGATATTTTATGAAAATAGCTTACTATAATCAAAACCAAATATGCTTTAAATTGCATTTTAAAACATATCTAGGTCTTATAAATGATAAAGAATGTTTATATAGATATAAAATTGATATTTTATGAAAATAGCTTACTATAATCAAAACCAAATATGCTTTAAATTGCATTTTAAAACATATCTAGGTCTTATAAATGATAAAGAATGTTTATATAGATATAAAATTGATATTTTATGAAAATAGCTTACTATAATCAAAACCAAATATGCTTTAAATTGCATTTTAAAACATATCTGGGTCTTATAAATGATAAAGAATGTTTATATAGATATAAAATTGATATTTTATGAAAATAGCTTACTTTAATCAAAACCAAATATGCTTTAAATTGCATTTTAAAACATATCTAGGTCTTATAAATGATAAAGAATGTTTAAATAGATATAAAATTGATATTTTATGAAAATAGCTTGCTATAATCAAAACCAAAATTTTAAAACATCATAAAATTGCATTTTAAAACATAACTAGGTCTTATAAATGATAAAGAATGTTTATATAGATATAAAATTGATATTTTATGAAAATAGCTTACTATAATCAAAACCAAATATGCTTTAAATTGCATTTTAAAACATATCTAGGTCTTATAAATGATAAAGAATGTTTATATAGATATAAAATTGATATTTTATGAAAATAGCTTACTATAATCAAAACCAAATATGCTTTAAATTGCATTTTAAAACATATCTAGGTCTTATAAATGATAAAGAATGTTTATATAGATATAAAATTGATATTTTATGAAAATAGCTTACTATAATCAAAACCAAATATGCTTTAAATTGCATTTTAAAACATATCTAGGTCTTATAAATGATAAAGAATGTTTATATAGATATAAAATTGATATTTTATGAAAATAGCTTACTATAATCAAAACCAAATATGCTTTAAATTGCATTTTAAAACATATCTAGGTCTTATAAATGATAAAGAATGTTTATATAGATATAAAATTGATATTTTATGAAAATAGCTTACTATAATCAAAACCAAATATGCTTTAAATTGCATTTTAAAACATATCTAGGTCTTATAAATGATAAAGAATGTTTATATAGATATAAAATTGATATTTTATGAAAATAGCTTACTATAATCAAAACCAAATATGCTTTAAATTGCATTTTAAAACATATCTAGGTCTTATAAATGATAAAGAATGTTTATATAGATATAAAATTGATATTTTATGAAAATAGCTTACTATAATCAAAACCAAATATGCTTTAAATTGCATTTTAAAACATATCTAGGTCTTATAAATGATAAAGAATGTTTATATAGATATAAAATTGATATTTTATGAAAATAGCTTACTATAATCAAAACCAAATATGCTTTAAATTGCATTTTAAAACATATCTAGGTCTTATAAATGATAAAGAATGTTTATATAGATATAAAATTGATATTTTATGAAAATAGCTTACTATAATCAAAACCAAATATG